CTAGAGTGAGCGGAGGCCGGCTTGAGTGAGCGGCGGCGGGCGAGCTTGCGGCAACCACATGTGATGACCCCGGGCTGGACTCCGCTTCGTCCACGATGAAAGCCGATCCGGCGATCCACAGCGAAGTTGATGTATTTCCTCAGCAACCAGCACGGATCAGCTCTAGGCATGACGAAGCTGATATCGTCCTCTTTTGGAAGGCCAAACAAAGTAGTTTCGCTTTCACAATGAATCACACAACATAGCGGTAGCGGCAACTACAATACTACAGGGAGAATAAAAGTTACGCCTTCTTTCTTTGCGTGAACATTTGGGCGGCGTTATGCAAATCTTCCCACATTGTGACGTCAACATGTGGGGGCGTGTTAGAACGAGCCGTTTTAGGTAGGCGTGGTTGACTCTTAACTTTTATAAAGAATATTGCTGTTTCTCAATTCCAAGAATGCAAAGAACGGACTTGCGTTCTCGTGGAGCTTCCTTGGAAGAACGAACCCAGAAGGACGCGAGAACACAGAACGCACCCTTATGAGAATTGAGATGTGCTGCGTTCTTGCTTGACTGACCACAGTCACAGCATAAGCAGCGGCCAAAGAACCATAAATATAACATAACATTACAAACAAATGTTATAACTTATTAAAACATTTCATACTATTATAGATATTATTTACATATAATTGTATATCATTTTATTTTACAGCGTTATATTTTTAACTATGACTATGTTAAGATTCCTTTCAATATGCCAATAAAAATACTGCAGACTTTCTCCGGGTCTTATAACTTTATTAAAATTAAGCAAAACAAAATGATAAATGTTTATTTCTAAGAGTCGTCAAGTATTTGCGAGAGCGAGTTTAAAGCTTGCAGGCTTCCGTTCACCGGCCACCTGCAGCATCTTCTGGGATTTCTAACGGCTTGATTCTCTCAAGTCTGCACTCGATGCATCCTCGATATCAAGAAGACATCCGGGAACTTTCATGCATCCTCTGTACTTGTGTTCTTGAGAATTGGAATTGAACTTCGACGGTTAATGATGACGTAGAGCGAGAACACAAGGACGCAAGATCGCTGAAGAACGCATATTGAGAAACGGCCTATCTCTTTGGATTTGAGACTTTAGTCTTTGCAACTTTACAGATCGTCTTTATGCACCAAGAGCTTGTAACACTCCAAAGAGAAAGGAAAAATTTAAATTGCATCATATGACCCCTTTAACTGTATTTTGATCAAATAAATGCAGACTTGGTAATATGTGACCCTAGACCACAAAACCAGTCATAAGGGTCAATTTTTTATTTATTTAGATTTATTTAGCTGAATAAATAAGCTTTCCATTGATTTGTTAGGATAGCACAATATTTGGTCGAGATACAACTATTTGAATATCTGGAATCTGAGGGTGCAAAAATCAAAATACTGAAAATCGGCTTTAAAATTGTCTAAATGAAGTTCTTAGCAATGCATATTACTGATCAAAAATTAAGTTTTAATATATTTACGGTAGGAAATTTACAAAATATCTTCATGGAACACGATCTTTACTTAATATCCTAACGATTTTTGGCATAAAAGAAAAATCTATAATTTTGACCCATACAATGTATTTTTGGCTATTGCTACAAATATACCCCAGAGACTTAAGACTGGTTTTGTGCTCCAGGGTCACATATATATTTCAAAAACATTAAAAATCTAATTGTTCCCAAACTTTTGAACGGTAGTTTATTTTAGTCCTCTTCAGCTTTACTTTTCAGAAGGGAGCTAGCTAAAAATTGAGAAAGCTAAACTGAAGTAACAGTGTTTCTTCATGTTATTGTTACTTTTACTTCTGAGCTTCTTTATCCCTCTAGCTTGCTCTTGACACTGGCATTATAACAATACTGGTATTTCACGCTCTTGTATGATAACCTGAGGATTAAAGTTTCTGCTAACTGACTATATGTGCATATAAAATGTATGAAAAAGCCCTTTCAATATATAATAACACCATTAGCAGTTAAATCTGTCTGATGAAGACTGCTTAATATTTGCCTGAACAATCTATAAATATGGAGAATACCTGAGGAGGACCCGCCGGCGTGACTGGAGAGTCATCGATGCCACAGGCGAGGTTTTGAATCCTTTTAGCGGTCACTTCACCAAACTCCCTCACCAGGTCAGCCAGAGAATATAACTGTAGATCTCTCACACTGACCAGACCCAAAGCCTTTAACTTCTCACGTGTCTTGTAACCAATCCCTATAAACACAGACAATGTTTACAGAATATAAACAGCACGGTGTGCAATGGGTGAGATCATGTGTCATCTTACCAGGCACTTTGATTAGTCCTGTGAGGCTGCTCATGAGCTCAGCGGTGCTGTAAGGCAGGAGGGTGGTTTGCTGGTTTGGTTTAAAGGTTCCAGCCACTAGTTTGGCCAAGAGTTTGTTGTTAGCGATGCCAGCACAGCCGGTTAGTCCCAGCGTGCTGAAGATGGCCTGCCTCATCTCAGCTGCTATCACAGAGCCGACAGCCAGTCGGGCGTTCTCCTCATCAACTGCCATACCTGAAGATAAGCTAGATTCATTATAAGCAGAAACTCTAGCAATTCTCCCATTTTCCATGAAAAACTAAACAAGAAAAGAGTACACTGAATTCGTCCAGTTCTGAAACAGCACTGTTTCATTTGTTTGAGGTGGCGCTCCAACTCACTTTCATGTTTGTATACGTGTCCGTTGAAGGAGAGATCTGAAATACAGGTCTCCTTCAGTCTTCTCTCCACCATTTCTGTAACGTCCATGAAGTTTTCATCAAAGCCCAGCCTTTCCACTAGTGGGCAGTATGACATCAGCAATTCTTGGGCAGATAAAGTCAATGTCAAAGTCTGGTTTATAGTCAGTTCAAACAGGGGGACCTTTGGATTGTACTCCGTAATAGTTCTAAAACAAACTCATTAAATGTAACATTCAAAAGACTGGGATCAGTAAGATCATTGCATTTATAATTTGACCGTAAAAACAAAAATAGGAAACAATTACAACTGAACATAACTGTTCTATTCTATTTTAATATATATTTGAAGTTTAATTTATTCCTGCGATAGCAAAGCTGAATTTTCGGCCGCCATTACTCCAGTGTCACATGGTGATCCTTCAGAAATCATTCTAATTTGCTGATGTGGTGCGCAAGAAACATCTTCAATTATTTTGAATGTTGAAAATAATTTGTGGAAACTGTTATACATTTTGTTTTCTTCAAAATTCTGATACTGCTCAAAAGAACAGCATTTATTTGAAATAGCATTTTTAATAATATCGTAGAAGTCTTTACTGTCACTTTTGATCAATTTAATGCATCCTTGCTGAATAAAAGTATTAATTTTATTTTATTTTTTTTTAAATCTTGCTGACCCGAGACTTTTGAATGGTAGTGTATAAAATGTAAAAAGTGTAAAAATATATCATTAAAATCTAATTATCAAAGTACATTCACTGTTATTATAATTATATATATTATAAATATACAAATACAATTTAAAGACACCTATAATAAAACAATATAACAACAAATTCAAATGTATGATTATACCAGTGACTTTGTAGGACATCTCTCTGTAATGTGTGAGATCTTCTCCTTTCACTAGCACCAGCTGTGGGCATTTCTCCACTGCATCAGTCACTGACATCAGTTTATTCACGCCATGCTCTCTTGCCACATAATTACACGTCACAATTAAGTACTTCTGCTGTATCCCTAAGAGACCACAGATATAGACAGAATATGACATTACATTTATCAGAAGGATAGCAATGAGTTTTGTTAGTAGTACTTATTTCTTTATCAACTGACTGATTAGAACATTTATGACTTTTTGTAGAACTTGTACTAATGTTTTGTGTGTGTGTGTGTGTGTGTTGTCTCTACAACTGCACCAGGACATACTGTATTTGTTGTAAACTTTATACTCAGTGAAAGTTTATATTCTGTGGTGTTTTACCAAGAGGTTTGTTCCTGAGTGCAGGATTTCGGATCATCTCCACTTGTGCATAGAAGCAGTCCAGGTCAATGTGCAGGATCACTCTCTGAGATATGGATGTAACTCTGTCAGTGGAACTTCCTTCTGAAAAGTCAAGTTACAAAAGCACAGTTACTGTAGATACAGTATCCCTGACAGAGGCTGCTCACCAAACCTTGTTGCGGTCTATTCATATTGCAGCTGTCACTGAGCTCTGCATTTAGACTATGCAAACATGAGTAACTATAATATTCACGCATTACTTTAAAAACATATTTATGCTCAAGTTTACGTAATCGTCCAGTTATAAACCCACCTGTCTCTAGCATGTCTGACTCTAAACTGCGATCCCAGTCATTGTCTCCCTCCTCGTCCGTGTCCATATTTACTACAACGCAAAAGACAGATATGTGGATATATGAGACGTACAAACGAAATAAAATAGAACTTTTAATAATCAACAGCAAAACATGTCGCCACCAAAATCAAACATAACCCACTGCTCATACTGCCACTTACAGGTCTGGAGCAAAATACTCAACGATATTACATAAATATTCAAGAAATACCTTCTTTTTTTAAATAAATAAATGGAATGCTATGATATAGGAAAAAATACATCGCATTAAACAAAATCTAAATAATATTTTAGTTTTATTAATGTAGGTATTACCTGTTATTAGACTTTTTTTTGGATGAGTTGCTTAAATGGAATGATATAAAAATAATGCAGAATATAGAAATATATATAAATGATAAAATAAACATGTAATTCATTAAATGTTTTGAAACTTAGTTACACAAATAAGCAAAATAAAACACATCCAATATTTAAAAACTAATTTATTGAAGAATAAAACTGACAACATAAACCAAACTGTCACCGTGTATGCTGGGGACTTTTATTTTCAGGAAAGATGTGGGGGGTTTTTTTGTCGCTGTCTTCACACATGTAGTCGTGACTGCCGTTGGAAGTTCAGTTTTTATTTAAACCATTTATTTCTGGAGTCCAAATACATTCTCTCACACGTGGTTTTAGAAAGAAAACCACTTGTTTGTCATGACGAGGCACCAGTAACGGCTTATTACTCGCTTGACGTTGTGAGAAAGGAGGAAACTGTGGCACTTCCTCAGCAGAGTGACTGAAGAGCAGCCGTTTCTCTGTCCGTTGACTCCGGTCTTTTGAGTCATGTCGTTTCGGAGAGCGATCAGTCTCGCGTGCGGGATCGCCGGCGGATCCGCGGTGCTCGTGTGCGCGGCGGTCGCTGCAGATAAGCACCGGTACTTCGGAGAACGATGCCGGTTGAGAGAGACCCTGGCTGCCGTGCACGCAGCGCAGCCTCCGGCGTGGCCCACTGCGAACGGATGGGATTGCAATTGGGACAAGTAAGCAATAGAAACCTATTTCTGATTGACTACTGTTGTATTTACATAGTATTTTAAGGTTTCTCGAGGAATATTATGGTACTACCATAGTACATGTTCATAAAACCATTGGTATAGCTATGGCATCATGCCCAAAAACCATTTATGGTAATGTTAGTCTGAGGTCTGATGCCTTGATCAGTGGTGATAATTTATGGATCACCTTAAAGGGATAGTTCACCCAAAAATGAAAATTCTGTCATCATTTACTCACCCTCATGTCGTTCCAAACCTGTATGAGTTGCTTTCTTATATTGAACATAAAAGAAGATATTTTGAAGATTGCTGGTAATCAAACAGTTGGTGGTTGCCATTGACTTCCATAGTATTTGTGTTTCCTACTATGGAAGTCAATGGCAACCACCAACTGTTTGATTACCAGCAATCTTCAAAATATCTTCTTTTATGTTCAATATAAGAAAGCAACTCATACAGGTTTGGAATGACATGAGGGTGAGTAAATGATGACAGAATTTTCATTTTTGGGTGAACTAACCCTTTAAGGTTTGATCCTACAACCTTTGGCTTCGATATACGGTCTTGAACCACTAAGCCGCACCACATTTGGCAGTGATTGAAATGGTGTAAGTGACCTTTCATTGACTCGGGTAGGTTTAGTCTTAGACCTGGTTAACTGTCAGTAATGTAGTTTCTTTTTACATAATGTGCTAAGCACTTTTGGAAGTATCTGCCAACTGACAGTTCCAGCTTCAGATATAGACTTGACTCTTGTATTATGTTCAGAATCTGAGACAGTTGTTTCATGGTGGGATTCAGTATTTACCAGATTCAATCAAATTCATCAAAAGTTATGAAAGTGTGAAAAACAAAAAAGAAATAAAGTAAAACAGCAAGCCTGTATCATTAATACCTCTCACACATTTTAAAAACAAAACACGAGAACATGTGATTTTTAAAACTGTAACGTGTATATTATAAACAGTATTTTAGCTATTTTTATAACCTATAAAAATTTACGCCTTCAATGCAGCATATCTTTCTTTGGATAAAAACTGCCATGAATGTAAATTGAAATACCCTTAAGGTTACATCACACTTCACCAACAAATTAGCCTTTAGAGGGTCGTTGAGAAACTGATAAAATACATTAAAAATGATATTACTTTGAGTCTGTGCAGCTGCCTTTAACACTGAAATATGCAGGTCAAATTGACCCAAACATCATAATGATAAAAGAAAAATGTATAAGTAGAAAATATTGTATGTGTATTTTGCAATACTTTCTTCATGACCCTAAATGAGGGAGAAGTTACACAATTTCTAGAAAAACATCATAGGCCGGTCAACCAGCATTTCCAACCAATCAAAAATTGAAATAAGTCAAGTTGACCTGCAACATAATATTAGGATTGAGAGAATATTGAGTGGGAAGAAATGAATCGCACAGTGTCTTGAAGAGTGTTGTCTTCAGCGTCCGGTTTCTCTCAGTGTAACTCTACAATTAACATTGCTCTAATGTTTGTATTTACTGTAGAATCCACTCTTGTCATCGGCTACTGAATTGAGTTCATTGGGCCTACTGTGTGAATGGCTAGTTTGAACATTTTTTGATGCTTTCAGACGTGACCCTTCATCTATGGTGAATGGGACGAGAAAGGAGAGTGCTGGTGACAATGGAAGTCCAGAAGTGGAGAACAACAAACCCAAAGCCACACGCCACATTTTCCTGATCAGACACTCTCAGTACAACCTCAAGGGGGATGGAGATAAAGAGAGGATCCTGACGCCTTTAGGTACTGATACCTCAGCATATATCAAATAACAGAAGTGTTGAGCCTAATCCATTAGATGCTACATTAAGCCACCAAATAGATCACATGCTGATTTCTGTCTTCACTGCAGGACGTGAACAGGCTGAGTATACTGGACAGAGATTAGCAGTGCTTGGACTGAAGTACGACGTTCTCATCCACTCCTCCATGACTAGAGCTGCAGAAACAGCCAACATCATCAGCAAATACCTGCCAGGTACAGACTCGATCAGCTCTTCAGAACTAGGATTAAACCTCTCAGCTAAACCTGTCATTTTCTTCTTCACCTAATTTAATTACATTATGACACACACAAGACATAATGGCTGAGATGTATTAATACCTATGCATGACTGTGGTCTCTTCTGAAAATACACACTTGTGCGTTTGTTGTCCAAGTGTGTGCATTATTAAATTAAAAGAAAAAGTAATAACTAATAAAGAAAAACAGATGTTTGAAGGGTTAGTCCACCCCAAAAATAAAACTTACATCTCGCATTTAAATATCTTCCTCATCTTATGTCCATCAAACATATTTTACTTGACTGTATTACTTATATCCCTTTAGGGAACTGCTGATACTTAAAAAATTTTTTTTTTTTTCAAATTTAGTCTTAAGGTTAAAAAAATTCTTATTTAAAATCTTATGTAGTTTTATTTTTGAATAGCTAAACCTGGCTCTCACCATGAATATAGCCATAGAAGCTGGCATGGCATTAAAAAGCAAAGAAAAAGATGTCTTCCAAAGTTCACTTTCTTCCATGGAACAAAAAAAGAAGTTCAGCAAAATCACCTGGGTGTATTTCCCTCTGTACAGTCAAAGTGAATGGGGATGGATAATGTCAGGCTCTCAAAAATGACCCCCCCAAAAAAAAGCATCATAAAAGCAAATCAATATGACTTGTCCACTCTATTCCGAGTCTTATACCTTTGTGTGTGAGTTTAGGGGTGGCAGTATCACCAAAAATCTATATTGCGATATGTGTAATATTATTTCAAGATAACGACGGAATATATAAGTATCACAATAGTTGTTTTGTTAGAAATAAGGTTGTCAAAATGGCAACGTTTTAGATGACATGAAAATGTCACAATTCTTGATTATTTCAATACCACGGCAAAAACAGATATTTTAAATATTATATGAATACTCCCTAAAGGCTTGTTCACACCCGGACGAATATCGCGCGCGATTATCGCCGACGTTTAACGCCTCGTGACGCGCCAATGTGAGTGTGCAAACCGATGCACAAAACGCGAGGCGTAAAAGCGTCATTTTTTTAAAAAATCCTCGGGCTTGTTTTTTTGGTTTGAAAAATTGCGTTAAAAACTGGCCGACCAATGAGATTGGTGCTTTTGTTCACATGCCTGGAGCTGCTGAAGTTACAGTAAAACACGACTTGGTAGCACTCAAGCACAAAACGGTCTTGCCGAGCACACGTTGATACCTAACGACAAAGAGGAAGTAAGTAGACCAAGAAGATGCATCGAGGCAAGATGAATGAAGAGCTGCTGGTCTCATTGGTGTCTGAACACAAAGGGCTTTATGACAAAAGCGACTACAAAAATCTCGATAAGATTGTTATGGAGAGGAATTGCAGATCAAATAGGATTCGATGTATACCGGGGTTTTTCTGTTTTTCATTAAGCGCCATCTAATGTCAGGGAGTGAATTTGCACGTTCACTCGGCTCATCGCCTGCGAAAATCGCTTGGGTATGAACACGAAAGACGCGTCGAAAAACGTCGGCGATAAGCGCACGCGATAATTGTCCCGGTGTGTACGAGGCTTAAGGCTGCCATTTGTACCTAACTTTGTGTGTATTTGACCATTTAGGCCAAAAAAAAAGGCAAAAAACAACTAAATTTAGTACTCATGTGCTGTGTGACAGGCGGCTTTCTGCATGTGAGGTCAATCACACTTGAGCTGTTTAAAATCGTAAATTGAAACTGGAAAGGTCTAAAAATGCACGAAAAGGATAAACTTTAATGACGATGGTGACGATAATCCAAAATTTCTACTAGTTGTTAAATTTATTTCGGTTTATCGTGTTTACAACTATATTGCCCACCCCTAGAACTGACCGAAAACATTCAATTCAGTCTGTTAGTTTTAGCTTGGACAATTCCTGTATTGTGTACTAAAATAATGATTATGAATTGATGTTCCATGTTGTAAAATGTTGCCTTTGTAGAGATTCAGAATGGTTATTTTCTTCACGTATGACCCATGTGTGTGTTGTAGGTGTGGAGCTTGTAAGCTGTGATTTACTGCGAGAGGGTGCACCCATAGAGCCCGTCCCACCTGTCACACACTGGAAACCTGAGGCAGCGGTCAGTGCAAACAAAGTCTTTACTTACCAATCTGAAGGCACTGTCTGTTAGTCCCCACGTTTGGTGTCACTTTTGATTGTCTTTGTGTGTTGAGTTTCTGTTGATGACGCAAGTCATAACAGAACGAACTGCTAAGGTTACTGCTGCCGTACAAAACCCACAATGAAACCATCTCAGATCGCTTCAACAAGCATCAAATGTTCTTGTTTTCCTGCTGGTCATCCTAAAGCTTGATATCTGAAATGTTTGCTGGAGAATGTTGAGTTTGGTTTGGTCGTGAGTGGGCTGTGGGGTCCTTCCTCTCCTCATGTGGATGGTTGTGAAAGTCTTGTGCTGGTTTCAGCAGTACCACGAGGACGGCGCACGGATTGAGGCAGCGTTCCGCCGCTACATCCACCGAGCTGACCCCAAGCAGAAGGAGGACAGCTACGAGATTATCGTCTGTCATGCTAATGTCATCCGCTATTTTGTGTGCAGGTTTGTGCTCACTTGCTACTCAGTGCAGTCTTTTTTAATCTTCATTTTTGTGCTCATTGAAGCTTTTAAAGGGGTCATATGACGTTGCTAAAAAGAACATTATTTTGTGTATTTGGTGTAATGAAATGTGTTTGTGGTTTAAGGTTCAAAAAACACATTATTTTCCACATACTGTACATTATTGTTTCTCCTCTATGCCCCGCCTTTCTGAAATGCGCCGATTTTTACAAAGCTCATCGGTCTGAAAAGCGAGGTGTGCTCTGATTGGCCAGCTATCCAGTGCGTTGTGATTGGCCGAATACCTCAAGCGTGTGACGGAAATGTTACGCCCCTTACCATACAGTGATGTCGTGTCCCAGAGCGACGAGACAAAAACATTAAAACCCATTATAAACGAGGCATTTGTTGCATCCAGTGGGGACATAATTACGGAGTATAATGACTTATTGTCCTTTTATGAGTTGCGTATCGCGCCGCGTAAACATAAAACCATTCGTCTGCATTTGTGACAACGACAAATAACAAGCGCTACTGTAATCGTCATGCGTTTGATGCGTCAGTGGCAAATTCTTTAAATATGAAAACATACTTACAGACTGTGAGTCAGAACAGGTAAGTATGCTCTGATCACTTTGTATTGTTGTGTGTGTGGTTGCAAAAGTTTCATAGAAGCCCGTTTCAGCCACATAAGGGAAAAAAAGAATGCTTTGGTAATTCGTAATTATGACAAAATCATAATAGTTAATTGAAATTATGAGATACTAAGTCGTAATTGTGAGATTGAAAAAAATATCATGACAAAAAGTCAGTCAGGTCATAGTCAAGTCATTTTGTGACAAAAATGTGACTTCTATCTCATAATTAAGCATATTCTCAAGCATATTATGTGGTAGAAATGGGCTTCCATATTGAATATATGGAATTCATGAAAAACTGTTTGCAACCTTTTATCAATGGTCAAACATGCTAAACATCACTATTGCTGTTGCTCATACATACCGCTAATGCAAGAGATAAGCTTTAGAGAATAGAAAAAATATTAAATTAATTTATTACAATTATTAGTATTATTTTATTAAATTTAGTTTCTTATATTGTGTGGTTATGACTAATTGCTAATAAATATAATATATCTAATTGCTAATAAATATATTTCTTGATTGCATTATATTGTTATTTATTGTTTAGTTTTTTTATTCATTATTTTTATTTAATAAATACTTAATTGTTTATTAGTTACACTGTGTGGTTATGACTCTTAATTTTCTTGATTCTTGTACTAGTTTGCAATGTGTAAATTTGAAATATTTCAGCCATGTTTGTTCACATGACTCGTCAGACACGTGCTGAGGTAGTTGTTATGCTCTTTCAAAGATATTACTAATTGCTAATAAATATAATAATATATCTAATTGCTAATAAATATATTTCTTGATTGCATTATATTGTTATTTATTGTTTAGTTTTTTTATTCATTATTTTTATTTAATAAATACTTAATTGTTTATTAGTTACACTGTGTGGTTATGACTCTTAATTTTCTTGATTCTTGTACTAGTTTGCAATGTGTAAATTTGAAATATTTCAGCCATGTTTGTTCACATGACTCGTCAGACACGTGCTGAGGTAGTTGTTATGCTCTTTCAAAGGAAGTGTCTTGTCAAAAGCTTGAATGTAATTGAAATGTTTGTTCCAGGGCTCTGCAGTTTCCTCCAGAGGGCTGGCTGAGGATGGGCCTGAACAACGGCAGCATCACCTGGCTGACAGTTCGGCCCAGCGGCCGAGTGGCTCTCAGAGCGCTGGGGGACTCGGGCTTCATGCCTCCAGATAAACTCACCCGGACATGACGTTCTCAAGCTAGACCATCATGCCTCATTACAGTCTAGAACCGAAGGATCATTGAGATGGACAGATGTTAAGAGTTGCAAAGGGTCGAAATATTTCCTTAAATGTTCTCCTGAAAATTTTCTGAAATGCCTTTTTAGATGCACAAAAAAAATGGAATGTGATTTAATATTCACTAACTCCTCTTGCTTGTTTAATAATAATCTTACATAGCTGCAATTTAAGAGAAGATTTCTGTGAAAAATTTCATTTGCAACTCTACAATCTGTTGCTGTGGTGATCAGTTACTCCACAAGTGTCTTGAGTGTAATCATTTTATGTTTTTAAATCAAGCAAGTTAAGAATTATTGATATTTCTTCAATTAGACACTCCTGTGCCAATGCTTTGTCTGATCTATAACAACCATGAAAAGGTGGAATTAACCAGCAAGTGTACTTTTTTTATGTTTATGACAAGGTGTCTTTTCCCAGCAGCATTATGCAAACTCTGGAGGCCTTGAGGCAGTTGGTGTGTATTTACACGGTTCACATATAATTGTTTATTATTGTTTTAGAAGCAAAGTGTGAGTTTGCTAAAAAAGGCGAGAATCTTGCCGTTGAAAGGTCTTGGATGACTCTTGTGTTAATGTTTGTATGTTGTTGTTTATGGCAGTAAAAAATAAAATCATTGAGTTTAAAAATATCATTCATATAATAGATTTTTAAAAAAAAGGTCCAGGTAATTTTTACCTGAAAAAAAATACAACACTACTACTAAAAAAGGCATATGATTAGGACATCATGCCTATTTTAGAACCATAAATAAATTTTAGCATTGTGACTTTTGTGCCAAAAAAGGCACTTTTTAAACAAATATTAATGTAAATAATAAAAAAATCCTAATTGGACACTAATTGGCAAAATTAACTTTTTTTATTTTGGTGAAATATGGCCCAGACATTTCTTGGCTGTTTTTATGTTTACCTAGATACACTATTGTTTGGAAGTGTGGGGTGACTAAGATTATTTTAAAGAAACAATAAAAAGACCACCTTGTTTACAAATAAAATAATAGGACAAATCAGAATGTGTTCTGTACCTCAGCGAAATGTAAATGTGCTAGTTTTCCATAAAGACATTTTTCTTGTACAGTCAAAGAAAGTCAGTAAAGTTACAAGACTGTGCACTTTATTTATCGTTCGTCAATGGAACATCAAATACTTTCCTTTAATGCGTACTGTAATAAAATAGGACTAGAAATGCATGCAACGTAAAGGCCTGGACAACAAAAGTAAATTCTCAACAATAAACTACAACTCATTCACCAGTGTTGGCACTACAAAGCATCATTTAACAAAAAGTAAGGCTGGCATTGATACAACACTAGCAATAACAAACTGTAAACCTTTTTTTCTTCTCTTGCAATCGTATTTAAGAGGTATTCAGACACTGCATATGCCAATGCTACTGTACTCCATTTTACACTAGGAAACAGAAAAAAAGGTCTATTCAGCTTGTATGTGGTCAGTGCATCTGTCATACACTGAGGAGGAGCCACAGGCCCTTCCAAACAGATCATAATCAAAGGCACTAAAGCTTTACAAAGCAAAGATCAACAGGCCAGCACTACACTGAGAATGATGGGCACCAAAGAAATAGATCACATGATCTGAAAGTACCACAGAGGATGTTCTGGACTCGATTCCTTGAGATATTCATCACATAAAACTGAGCTACCTGGAGCTTTTCTGCTTCTAGTCAAGTAGCTTAGATTCCAAAACAAATGGGGAGAATCTGGCAGATGGATCCATTTCAGAAGCCAGTGAGAATCGCATTGACATGATCTAGCGGTGAGACTGAAATATTGGCTATTTATGATGGGATGAAGGACAATGATTTTTTCTGAACACATTTAAAGTGCACTTACAACACTCCGGATCCACAATCATTAAGTCTTACAGCTATCATGACATTAACGTAACAAGACTGACTTGCCATCATCAAATTTGCATTAGCTTGAATGTGGCATGGCTCAAACTATGCAGATTCATGTCTTTCCGACAAACCGAGTCTCATCTGTTGTTCACGGTGAACTGTGTCAAACTCCAAAAAGAATTCAAAGTGCAAACAAATGCATACTTAGAAATGATAAATCACATTTATTGAACTTAAAAATGAAAAAGGGGAATATTCTCACATAGAACTCTTGCTTTTTTCCCCCAACACCTAAGGCTGCTATTAACAAAGCATGAATAAACACCTGCTTTTGAGATTCAGAAGTTGGTATTTTCTTTTAGAAATTTAAGGCAGTTCTCCAATTAAAGAATAAAAATAACTTCTGGCAGTCAGTTGACTTCTTTCTTTTTTTTTACATTAAAAACCATTAAAATGAGCGTTTTGTGCTACTCAGTTAACTAGCAAAAATAATTCAATAATTTACTACTACGTTATTTAATTTAGATCTGGGTTTATATGCTGACATCTTTTTTCCCCCAATTTAAATGACTGCGTTAAGTGGGAAACTGTTAATTTCCATTAAAGACACCGTTTTGTAAATCCACAGATAAATCTCCCAAGCATACACACACACACACACACACACACATAGATAAGAAAGAACAAAACAGAAAGGTTAGAAAAAAGTCTATACGACCATCACAGATCAACACACTTGGTGTCATACACAGAAGTGCCGAATATATATATATATATATCTGCCGTTTGCACGGCACTAGGAGCCCGATTTGAGCATTTCATGGCTTCCGTTATGACACTGTGCTCCTTGGCGACGGGCTGGATGGGATGGACAGCGTTTGTTAAATGGGGGCGTCACCAAAATGTTTAAGTCGGATACGCTGGATGTAGCTCACAGGACTGTAGTTTGAATGAGCGGGGCTGTAGCGTCCGGGGCTGCAGATGTCCGGTGAGCACATGTGACGAGCTGGGCTGAAGCGGCTCGCGGGGGACATCAAACCGCTCACTGGAGAGCCAGGGGTGACTGAGTGAGCCCTGAAATGGCTCTTGATCACTGCAGGAGTCTGCCAGCTGAAAACATAAATACAGAACTCTTAGTGTACATAAATATTTGTCACAAGATGTTCTCAAGAGGCATCTTTAAAAAAGGCCTATTGTTGTTACGATTTTTTTTTATAGAAGTCTCCTACTCTCCAGGATTGCATCTATTTGATAAAAAAATTCAGTATAAAATATTCTGTAATGTTATTACAATTTAAAATAACTATTTCTGTTTTAATATATTTAGTATATTACAGAAACCATGATAAAAATTTTTTACCATGACTCTGGAACAAAAGTAGTTTCAAAGAACAGCATTTATTTAAAATAGAAATCGTTTGTAACATTATAGAAATCTTTACTGTTACTTTTGAGCAATTTTATGCATGCTTTCTGAATAAATATTAATTTCCTAATAAAAGTTCTTTTTTTTTAAAATCTTACTGACCCTAAACTTTTGAATGGTAGTGCAATGTACTAAAAAGTAGTGTAACGTAGCTCTCATCATGGAGCTACACACATGCCTACCTTTGCATTTCTAAGTGGGAGTATGCCTGAATTGTGCTCTTCCATTTGTCAATGCTGGGATACTTCAGAGGGTCAATGTCTGTGCCACCTAAAGCCAACAAAACCTCTCGGTCCAACTTGGTGGGCGAATCCCTGAAAAAAAAAAGGAAAGAGTGAAGGTTTAAAGCCAAAAAAAAATAAAATTGTCTGGGACTATCCACAAATTGTACAGAACAGGACAGGACCTTAAATAAAAGTTTTTGTTTTCTTTTACAGCAAATGGCAAGTCAAAGTGTTTTTTTTAATTAATTTTCAACAGCCATTACTCCTGTCTTCAGTGTCACATGATCCTTCAGAAATCATTCTAATATGCTCATTTGTGCTCAAGTAACATTTCTTATTTTAAAAACATGCATACAAATGTATACAAAAAGAAAATGTACTTAAATGAAAAAAAAACAAAACAAAAAAAAACAGAATGAATAAGATGAATAAATTAAAAACAAGTGCCAGAACTGGGTTGCATATTTAGCTTAAATTAATCTCTCACTAGAGGTCTGCTAGGTTTAAACCATCTATTTTACTACAAAAACTTATAGACCAATACACATTAGTAAGGGTACTAGGGGTGTGCGATATTGACAAAGAATATCTCGATATTTTCTGGGATTTTATCGATAACGATAATTAGACGATATTTTGCTGAGTGTGTTAGCCTATTGTGCTGGTATCTTAAACTTTAAATGCGAAATTAAAACAACAGGTGGCAGCAAGTCACTGTGTTAATAAGAGAGTCATTTCGATTGAACCGAATCATTTAAACGGTTGATTCCTTCAGGCACGAAACACCGTCAGAGACCCAAAACAGCGTTGCGGCTGTGTTTGTAATTATTTTTGTAGTCGAAATAGGGCAAACACAGGGCATACGATGTCTAAAACATAAATCTCTTAATTAACTTCTTGTTTTTTTAACTGTTGTAAAAAAAACAATATCATGGTAATTTTTGGAGAAAAAAAACGACACTCTCTGTGTGATATTAACTATATGAAATTATATAAATATATACATTTTCTGTCCCCATATCTTGAATTTTGTGATCATTCTAAATGCATTTTATTAGACTGAATCATGCAGTGAAAAAACACTTTAAATGAGTACTCGCAGGCTTCACTGTAAGCGTGCTCTGTAGGGGTGTTTTGAAAGGTCTTTGCAAAATACTCAATGTTAAATCGCACATCGTTAAAACAACAATTACGATATTATAGCAGACGATATATATCGCACACCCCTAGGTTGCACCATATTTAACTTTTTGGTCGCTGTGATTTTGCCAAGTAAGACATGTTCCTGGATCAACATCTTTTGTTGATCCTGGATCAACATCTTTACTGTCCAAAAGTATAGACTAAACCCAATCCCTACCCCTAAACCTAACCGTACCCATAATTTATTCCTAAAATCAGTATGAAATGATAGCTGATTAACAAAGGTGTAGAAGCACTTAGCCCTGATCATAAGCCTAAAACAGATATTTCCTGAAAGTTATCCCTCAATTCTGACTGGTTAATTGGAATGTTGTTCCAGGAACAGGAACATGTTGTACTTGGTGAAATCACGGTCACCTAACTTTTTACAGGAATGACTGTGATGGATAAACTTACAGTGTGTTCAAAGGACTGTAATGTTTAAAAAAAAAAGAAAAAAAAAAAGGGTGATGTGACGTGGCCAAGTATGGTGACCCATACTTGGAATTAGTGCTCTGCGCCCGGGGAGCAGTTGGGGGTTCGGTGCCTTGCTAAAGGGCACCTCAGTCGTGGTATTGAAGGTGGGAGAGAGCGCCCCTCCTTCACTCCCCCCACCTACAATCCCTGCTGGTACGAGACTCGAACCCGCAACCTTCGGGTTACGAGTCCGACACTCTAACCATTAGGCCACGACTTCCCTACATAACTACTTTAACTACATACACATTATTCAGCTGACTTCTGTCCACTTTTGATGGACAAAAACTTCCTAAAACAGTTTTAAAAGTTGTGAGTTAGGAAAACTGCATGTGATCTTGGTCCTTTACACTGAGTGTGCCACTGTAGACTGTAAGTCTATCCCTCACAGCCTCGTTTTATCTGCATACAATTCAATGTGGCATCTAACCTGACTAAAGTCTATGCTTAAAATAAAGTCACGAGACACCAAAATGTACCATATGTGTACCATAAAAGCCTAATATTTACGAAATTCCATGACTAGCCTAGATATCACAATTTTAAATTCTCTGCTATACTACTGGAAATAAGTAAAGCCTTTATATTGAAGCATCACAGTGATCATAGTCTCCGCTCACCCTTCAATGAAGAGTCTTTTCGTCACTCTAGGAGGAGTCCGCAGTATGAAGTCCTGAGAACTGTCAAGTGATCTGTAGGAGCTGGAAGACCCTGAGGAGCTGAGGTCTCTTCCCCCATGATCCCAGGACTTTGATCTGGCACAGATTGTGCGCTCGCCTCCTGGAGTCTCTACAGTTCGTTGGTTCATAGATTCTAACCTCTCATTGGCCAGAAAGTACTCGTCTGAACTTGCACTGGATCTCGCATCTACTTCAATTTTTCTCTGCAATCCATCATTCTCTGCTGCTCGTAACACTGACGTCCTGTCTTTATCAAACACAGAGTCATCTTCCGAGGACAACGAGAGGCGGCCCAGTCCGGAGGTGAGCTCTGTGGCCTGAGCGTCTCTGTGACGTTTCCCTCCACTTCTTCTTCTCTCCCTGTTTGTCCTGTCTGGCTCATCCAGCAGAGACATCCTCTCAAACTGAGCCATTAGGTTTGAGATTGGCGACAAAATGCAGGAATTTGATGAACTGCAGATGCGAGGGGACATTTTGTCCCCGTTTGGAGTCCTGTCCCCGGGGCCCTGCTCACACAGGCCATTTTTACTGCTGGAGAGCAGTAGATCCTGCTCCGCAGCCACCTCTATGAGGTCAGCGCTGTGGGAAACTGGTAGGATGTGAAACTCAAGCCCCCCTACCGCCCCCTGCAGGCCATCTTTGGAGCACACAGAAGAAATACTTGTGAGGGCAGCGTTCTGCCTGTTCTTGATCTCCTCCAGGCTGATATCATCACCCTCATCCAAAAATGCCCCCACGGAGATGGAGTTACAGAACTTCTTCAGTTTGCCTGAAATTTAAAATATCATGGAGTGAAGGATTTCCCTAGGTCTTGGAAATCAAAAAGTTTGATGTAAAGTATAGACACTTTAACATTCACAAAACAAAGTTCCCTCCCCAGTATCCAATATATAACGGCACGCATTTGCTTCTCTATTAAATAATTTTACATGCACAACTCATAAGCCAGTCACAATTTATACAAATCTATAATGTACAGCAGAAAACAACTGTAAGAGTCACAAAATAGGTGAGAAATGGTCATGTAAAACTACATTACGACTGTATTTGGTGTAATAAACCTTGACAAAGATTACAAGCAAGAGTCAGTGAGGGAAAAACCCTACAAAAGTATAGAATACATCCTACGGAAGATTACGGATACAAAATGAAATACAGTTTTTTCAAAGTAATCCAGGTTGCGTGAATGACTAGTCGACCAGTTAGTCTCAAGAAAGTCCTTAAAATGGAGTTCACCTGACCCAATAATTATAAAGAAATGTTTTGTTTTTTTAAATAAATAAATATATATACACACACACACACACACACACACACACACACACACATATACATAAGCGTTCAAAAGATTAGGGTTGTTTTTGAAACAAACCACCAGGGCTTTATTTTATTTTTAAGTAAAAACAGTAATATTGTGAAATATTATAATTTAAAATAACCATTTCTCTTTTATTGTTTTAAAATGTCATTCATCTCGGTGATGCAAAGCTTAATTTTCAGCAGTCATTACTCCAGTCTTCAGTGTCTCATGATCCTTCAGAAATCATTCTGATATGGTGCTCAAGAAACATTTCTTATTATGATCAATGTTGAAAACAGTTGTGCTGTGATACATTTTTATTCAGGAATCTTTAATGAATAGAATAGAATAGAATATCAAATTATTAATGTCTTTGTAATTTTTGAACAATTTATTACATTCTCCATGTGAAATTGTCTTCTAAAAATTTCCTGGAATCAATCAACAGTTGAAAGGGTTTCTGAAAAATTTGGATATTAGAATAAAACTGCTAAGAGTCAGTGGTCTTACCTGGAGATGGGGTTTTAAACCGGTTTCTGGTTTCATTTTCTCCAGCCTCCCTGAAGTCTTTTTTACTAACACACACACACACACACACACACACACACACACACATATACATAAGCGTTCAAAAGATTAGGGTTGTTTTTGAAACAAACCACCAGGGCTTTATTTTATTTTTAAGTAAAAACAGTAATATTGTGAAATATTATAATTTAAAATAACCATTTCTCTTTTATTGTTTTAAAATGTCATTCATCTCGGTGATGCAAAGCTTAATTTTCAGCAGTCATTACTCCAGTCTTCAGTGTCTCATGATCCTTCAGAAATCATTCTGATATGGTGCTCAAGAAACATTTCTTATTATGATCAATGTTGAAAACAGTTGTGCTGTGATACATTTTTATTCAGGAATCTTTAATGAATAGAATAGAATAGAATATCAAATTATTAATGTCTTTGTAATTTTTGAACAATTTATTACATTCTCCATGTGAAATTGTCTTCTAAAAATTTCCTGGAATCAATCAACAGTTGAAAGGGTTTCTGAAAAATTTGGATATTAGAATAAAACTGCTAAGAGTCAGTGGTCTTACCTGGAGATGGGGTTTTAAACCGGTTTCTGGTTTCATTTTCTCCAGCCTCCCTGAAGTCTTTTTTACTAAGGTATTCTTCAAGCATTTTCAGGCCTTCGGTTGACTGCAGGTCCAGAAAACTATCCAGGAAATCCCAGTACTCTGCCCAAGCGTGACCGAGCTCATGGGCCAGATCTCTGCTCACAGACAGGACACCATTATCTTATTCTAATCAATGCTTAATAGCACACTATTAAAGCCCAAAAACATGAAATATGTGTCTATAATACAAGTAATGACCAGCTTCCATAAATTATAGCTTGGCTCTGACCTGCCAACTCTTTCAGCTCCACGGTCTGGGTCAGACTTCAGGATGTTGTGGAAATGGTCTGCCCGTTCTCTGGGAGGAGTCTTCCATGCTCGTCTGAACTCATCCGCCTATAATAACAATGGTATAGTCAAATTTGATTAGGTCATAATACATAACTAAGCATATTAGCAAAAAACTCCTACATATTCTACACAAAACTCACTTTAGATGGATTTAAAGGTCCAGCAAAGGCCCGGACTGCCATAACTGGATCCTTTGGGCTTCTGGGTAACCGTAGTGACTGGTTTTCCATTGGCTCAGGGGACCAAGGTGCACCAATCACAGGCTGGGAGGAGTTATCGGTGGCTCTCAATAAGGGGATGTACAATCGATCTGTAGCCAATCAGTAATGCGTGTTAGAATATGGAATGCAATTAATCTACATTTTTAAAGTATAATTTAAATGAATACAAAACTGTATATTGTGACTTACCTTCTAAATATTCATTTATCTTCCGTTTGACCTCCTGAACTTTACCCTTTTCTTTCATTCTATCACAAATGACCTAAATTAAGGGAATACATTAGATGACTGATAAATAAGCGTTGATAAATTATGAAATCCTCAGCATGAAAGCTAATGTATCAGAGCTGTTGTACCTCAGAGGGTTTCTGGTTGTACTTGTTCTTGCAGTTCTTGTCGATGTCTGGATGAGAACAGAGTATGTTCACCACCTCTGGACAGCCAAACTTACATGCAAAGTGGAGAGGTGTCTCAAATCCCTATGAAACACAGGACAGAGCATTTAGTTGGCACTATTACTGTACAAACCATAGTGAGCCGTCTACCTTGACAGTATTTTAGGTATAAAATTAATGTACCAGACACAAACGATGTTCTAAACATTGGCTACAATAAACAGTTTTGGATTTCTTTTATTTTCAGATTAATCTTGCATTATTAAGACATTAACAATAGAGAATTGTTGGATTTTTAGGTAACACTTTACTTGAAGGGGTGTGCATAAGACTGACATGACACCTTCATAATCATGACACGACACATGTCATGAATATGAAGGAGGTTTTATGCATGTTTATGACAACTGTCATTAAATGTCATTCGCTCAGTTATGTAATTATAAACAAAAATATTACAAGATAACTACTCAACTACAATTTAGGGCTTGATGCTTGCTCCTAAGGTAAAAAATTTGGGAGCATATATAATAATAAAAAAAAAAAAAAAAAGTCAGGGGCACAATGAAAATGATAAATAAAGGGATTCATAAGACGTTTACAAGCAAAATGATTTAATTTATTAGAATACAAAAAGTACACTAGGTTTTTCAATATTTCTGTTTCAAACTGTATTTAATGATTATGTGAATATTTATAAGCCTATTTAAAGGGATAGTTCACCCAAAAATTTAAATTCTGTCATTAATTACTCACCCTCGTGTTGTTCCAAACCTGTAAGACCTTCGTTCATCTTTGGAACACAATTTAAGATATTTTTGATGAAATCTGAGGGCTCTCTGACCCTCCCATAGACAGCAAGGTAACTACCACGTTCAAGGTCCAGAAAAGTACCAAGATGATCGACAAAGCAGTCCGTGTGACATCAGTGGTTCAACTGTAAAGTTACGAAGTTACGAGAATACTTTTTTTTGCGCAAAGAAAACAAAAATAACGACTTGTAAATAACGATGGTTGATTCCTTAAGATGTTTGTTATACCAATTAAAATGTTTTAAACTTTTTATGACCTTAAATTTCATAAAACTTTCAAGAAATTTCTCAACTATTTAAGGACACATGCTCCTTAATACATTTTACGCACATCTATTTTCTGGACGCAAATGCAAGTGAAACACTTGCAATGTCATGCCCTGCATTTGACTACTGAAGGCGATACCTGAGCACTGCAACGTCATGCAGAAAATGGTGTCACAAATCAGACCTCTCAGAAAGTGTTGCATTTATGAGTTCTTAAGAGGAAGCAATGTATTCTAGTTTAAGTTGGAATCTCATTATTATGGCAATTCTGAAATAGCATAAATGCACCTATAGTACATAGTATTAAGTTACTGACGGAGTGACCATTAATGGTGTTGCTTCCTATTTCAGTCACTTCAGTTTTTAAAGGTAATCCGCAAAAATTTCCCTAGGAATGTGAAATATGCCACCTCAACACTCATGCTACCAATATTTGAAGAGTAAAATAACAAATACAGATTAAGATGCACCACTTACAGCTTTATCTGGCGTATTGAGGTACAAGTCTACGATATACCGGATGCGTTTCTGCAGCATGCTCTCCTGGTCATCTGGGTACATAAGCCGCATGAAATCTGGGTTCTCAAGAGTGTCCAGCTGGATCTGAACAATGCCTGCCTGGTTCTCCTTAGCAGCCACATGCATCACATTATACCTGCAGCCCTCCTGAAGTCAAATTTACAACAGAGAAACATTTAAAAGAACAGCATTCAGAGATGAATAAGTTTAGATAAACTGTTGTGAAAAAAATTGAACAAATTGACGAACATGCCTAAAAGTATATAGCTGAATTCATACACATGAGAAAATGGTGCATGTGGAAATATTTGGGATTTGTAAATAAATAACTTAATATTTTGATACCAGGCTAGTTTGGAAAAAGACTTTGAACTTTGCAAAGAAGCCAACAGCTCACCATATCAAGTGGGAGAAACGGGCAAAACAACTTCATACACACAGATCATGGTACAAAAGCTTTCACCTGGACTACAGTAGGGTTGTCCCCTGACCCGATGAGGTAACGAGGGTTACTCCAGACCAGCTCAGTAAAGGCCATCTCATCTCCCTTCTCCACAGCCTTCCTTAGTTTGGCCGTCAAATCTTGAGTCCGAGGGCTCTTAAAACTGTTTGCCTTCTCCCTGTTGATTGTGTCTGCCTCCATCATAGACGGGTGGTCTGGTTTTGGGAATTTATCAGAAAAGAGTTTACATTTACAATAGGCAAGTTTTTAATACAATTTGAAACATGGTAGAAACTGATTACACTTTTTAATTGATCATTTAATTTATAAATGTATAAACAAATAATTTTTCAAATGGGTTACATTTACATTTACAGCTGAGATAATGGAGATATACCTCACCTTTGCTAAACACCAGGCCAGGTTTGACAGGAGAAACACAGGGAGTGCTTTTACTAGGCGAAGGATAGTAGTCACATATGCCTTTGGCAAACTTTTCAGCATCCTCACGATTGGAGAAAGCTTTAAACCGAGCCCCCTTCATCATTTTAACAGCCTGCAAAGCCTCTTTCTTTTCTGTGTACACATGGGCTCTCTCTAAACAGGAAGAGGAAAATAACAATCTCACACCAACATAACAGCTTTAAGGCATCTGTACAGTGTAAGCATGCAAAAGGCTACTGTACTAACAACTCTATAGTAACAGCGCAAAAATAACCAATTAAAGAGAGAACAAATTTTGTTTATGATTTTCACATTTTTATACAGTAATTTAGCGAGAATGCATTAAATTGATCAAAAGTGACAGAGGTTTACATTACAATGTTACAAAACTTTCTATTTTAAACAGATGCTGTACTTTTGAACTTTGTATTCATCAAATAATACTGAACAAAAGCTTTCAACACTGATAATAACAATAATAAGAAATGTTTCTTGAGCAGCAAATCAGCCTATTAGAATGATTTCTGAAGGATAACGTGACACTGAAGACTTGTGTAACGGCTGCTGAATATTCAGATTTACCATCACAGAGATAAATCACATCAGAAAAGTTATTTAAAATTCGAATAATATTTGACAATATTACTATTTTTACTGTATTTTTGATCAAATAAATGCAGCCTTGGTGAGAAGAGACTTCTTTCAAAAACATTAACAAATCTGAAACCGTTAAATGCTAGTGTACATCACTTTACACAATTCTTTTACCATGCTTTTTTGTGGTCATACCATGTTGTGTCATCAAGAAGGTGTTTAAAGTAAAGATAAAAACTCTTACCATTCCTAGCAAGTACATCCTCCCACAACGGACACACTCCGTAGAAAAAGGTGGGCGACACCTGTGCAGTTTTAGAGGGTGTCTGTGTCTCCGACTGTGAATTCTCCACATTACACGGGCACACCGTTCCACTCAGAGCCTCCTCCTCAGGTGGGTTAAGGCCCATGCCGTACCCAAAATCCCCATCCTCGCCTGTGACCGAATCTGAGGTTGCTGATGTGGCACTGGGTGGCACTTCACTACCAGAGCTGTTCAACGAGGCACTATTACCACCGCTGTTGTTGGGCTCAGTAAGTCCAGCATTCTCCACCAGAGTCCTGGCGAGCTTACGCTCAAATATGGCTCTTGTCGTGGCAGTGATGGGGCCACATTTCAAGTTGGCTTTAATGATCTCCTCCCTCAACTGATCAGCAGTGAGACCTTTCAACCTGCTCAGGACAGCGTCCATGCTTCTGCTGCTACGGCTACCTGATCACAAAAAAACACACATTTGGAGTTACCAAAAAAAATTAAATGAAAGTACAAAAGCAGAAAAGAGAGCATAGCCAGGCAAATTATTATTTTTAGCTTATTATTATTAGCTGGGACTGCCAACAAAGGTAGTATAAAACAGGTAGGCCACTTTACATGTCCTGCCACACTACTAGTGCTTTTGAGAAACAATATACTTCCTTTTTTTTTTATTGTCAAGGCATCACAAAAAATACACATGAAGAACAAATGCAAATATACAGACTTAATATAATACATATAACTAGGAATGAAAAGCACTAATTATAAAATTAATATTAAACATTATAAAATTAAATAGTATACATTTAAAAACTGCAAATAAACCTAAAAACGATTTCACGCATCTATAAGTCTATAAAACTGTATAACAATGACAAAATTGCATCGTTTAACCAAATAAATTAAAAGGGCAGCACAGGTTTACGGTCTTAAGAGCTTTGGAGTTCTTCGACGAAGAAAAAGCTTGGATATATTGCTTGATATCCTTTTCAAAAACAATGAAAATGAGCTTTTGATGAGCTACAATGCATGTGAAATTTGCCAAAGAACTATAGAAGAGTTTTAGAAACCAAACACATCCTTTAACAGCACTGAGAAACCCAAAAGCAAATGTTGGTTAAGCAAAAACCACTACAAAATAATTCTGTACAAGGACCATCCCAAAAATAAGAGACGCATTTTCACTAGAGGAATTACAAAAACTGCAATTTGTTTCCTTTTTAAATATGCCTCGGTAGTCATTTCAAAGGACATCCCTTACTTTATTGGTTATCATGTATTTAAGCAGGCACTGTCCACAGTTTTTGAGCTTGCAGCAGTTTTTCCAGTCAGCACGAAAACAAAGTTCGCTCAGTATGACCAAACACATGCAACGGTTAAAATAATGTACGTTACTTCCGTTCCGTTGATGAACCACGGCATGACGTCATGGCGGCAGTTAAACTGACAGCATCAAGCGCCTTTGCATTGTTAAGGATCAAAAACCTGCGACATGAAGTGGGGCTGCACAGATCGTGCCACCGGTCGCGCTTGAGCTACACTCCTTTAAATCTCATCCCGTGAGGCAAGCATGCATCTGCAACATAGAAAAAGTTTACTGAAGCCGAGGTGTCACGCCCAAACTACCATCCATTGTAGTTTTGTGTCTGTATGTTACATGATCCTTATTAATGGAGATGACAGATCAAAACATGGCACCCGTCATTTTTGCACCACTTACCATCTATCAGCTGAACAGTGATGCCGTGCGTGATGTAAACGCGCAGATGTGCATGAGGGACTTATTAAACGTTTACACGAGCGGACGCTCTGGAAGGGTCGCATTGTTTACAGCTCGGTCTGCGCATGCGCGTCGTACGGTCTGCGCCTGCTCACTACGCCGGGCAGGGTTCATGTGTTTCAAACGCCGGGTGCACGGAGTATCGCTCTTGTGAGTCGAATCTTTTCAATGAATCGACTGAACAGATTTGCGAAAAAGATCTGAATGATTCGTTCACAACTTCAACTCACTCTGGGGTGGAAAATGCTACTTTAGCCAAGTATTATATGCAAAATTAGTTCAAAGAGATGCATTTGAACTTCTCCACATATTATGTCCTTGCCGGTCGCTATTTGCAGAAATGTAAGAAAGACTGTAAGTGTATATGTAAGACCAGCTGCATTTCTTGTAATGATGACACTAAAGCATTTTACATTTATTTTACCACTGTCTATTTTGCCACACAGAGATGTATTAATGAGAACATTCTGTGTAATATGCGACGCCGTGGTATTGCGTCATTACGTAAAGGAACGGCAGAAGTGTTTGAATCGAACTGCTCGAAAGAACCGATTCGCGAAAGAGTCGGACTATGCTTAAACCCACGTACTAAAATTCAGTACTCCGACAATGACATCCCATAATATAGCAATTACTAATGCTAATATAGGACCTCATCACGTCATGTTTAAGTTAACAATGACAGGCTGACTTTGCTAATGAAGACAAAAAGGGCGAGAAGCTGTAGAATTGAGTGATTCAAAACTCAGCCAGATAAGAGAATCTAGATATTACCTCTGCTTCTGTCTGCAAATGTATGAAAGCTGCAGGTGGAGATGGGTTGCACACCAAGAGCTCCTTACATGCTTAGTTTCCATATAGCCATTCCTATTGAGACTAATTGTGGCAAAAAGGGAACTAAATATCTCGCGCTCGATAATGGCTCTTTATGTGCCAGAATAGCTATAATCATGTACAAATGGAAATATGGGCTTCTCAGAGATCACGCCAGTTGTTTCAAGTTAACGCTGAGCGAAATGTGCCTCCCGGAAGTCTCTCTTCTCTTGCTCGACGGGTGTCTGCTGTTTTTGGACGGGCTTTAGCAGCGCCACCTAGTGATATCTTCTTCTTCGTTTTTTATTGGCGGCTCGCAATCATGTATTTATTCATTGAGGTGTACAAATAAAAAGTCGTTCACAAACAAATGATTGTGAAGCAATACACACTATGTAACGATAAACGTTTTAAACTCTAGTGTGCTATATTGTTTCACATTAATTACGTTTCATTTGGCAAGCGCCTTCAAATTGTCATCTCATATCAGTAGTATCTGTCCATTTTAATCTAAATTGTGTAAAAAGTCTTTGTAGTTTTATTAAATAATCAAAACTGACATGTTATATGAACACCTAGCTACTTCCGGTGCAAACTCTACAATACAGTGTATTATTATATAAAGCGTAAATATTACATTTTACCAATAAAATCAAATAAAAGGCAGAATGCGTCTTCTAGCACCAGTATCTGTTATACATATATATAATATATAAATATATTTTCATTCAAAGAACATTAAAAAGAAAAGACGAGATGTGATCATTTTACAGAATGATTTATATTTTACACTCAATATGGTACATCCCATAAAAATGCTGAGCAAACAAATTAAAGGTTTTTTTCTTATTTATAAACACTGAACAGAAACTCGTGCTTTTCATCAGTACAGTAATTAACACGCAGTATATTTTCAGTTAATTAAAAACAGTTCCCTCCCTTTTACTGAATATGTTAATCCTTTGAAGTTAAATGTACATGTTAGTGTGTAAAGCTTCATTTCCCATTATGTCTTAATCATTTAAAGCAGGCTAAAAGTTATTACCGTACATGTAGTTCAATGTCGTTATCTCAGAACACACTTAAAAAGCAGTTCAAGCCAATTACATGGTTAAGTCCAGCTCCACAGACACAACCGACAAACGGAGTTTGTGAAATGAAGACATCAGGGGAAAGACTGAAATATTACACCTAATTAAAATACATGATTCAAAATATACTTGCACACATTTTCGATAATTAAGGCTGTAATGACAAATCATCCATGAGAATTTCAGGAAGTGAAAATGTTTTTAAATAATCGAACATAGTATTGGGCAAAAAAAAATGGCAAAATCTTCCCCTCAAAAAGTAATATTTTACATCTGTCCATACCTGAAAGTCAGTAAGCTTGCTTTCTTTGATCAATTGTGCAATATAAGTCAACACCTTACATATATATTATAAACATATACGTACAACACACTCGACAGCGCTTTCAAGAGCACATTCAACCTATTTTACACTATTTCCCAAGACCTCTCAACAGAAACATTTCATTCAAGCTATACATTTTTAGTAGTATTTAAAGGTTTCCTTATTGGATTCATTTTAAGGCGCAGCCCTAAAGAAAACTAGTCAAATTCTGACAGCCAAAGGCCTTTCTCACATCTGCAAACCGTAGACACAAACCAGATGCTAGCTGATATTGGATGATCTGATCTCTAATATATTACCCTGTACAAAAGGGCCACTACTTTCTCCCAGTCTCACGCTTACATTCCTGGGGCTTCAGGTCCTGAGTTTCAATCAGAAAGAGGCTGTAGTGCTAAATATAATTTTGTAAGTGCATCCTCAAGGTTGCATTATTGTACCCACAAAGATTGTGTTACAAAACAGTGGATCTAAACTCTGATACTTATGAGTAAAGCGGTACACAGTGTGGAAGTTGTCAGCATCGCTTTAGACTTGATTTGAGGCCTGGAATGCTCAGTTTTTTTGGGGAGAAAAAAATAAATAAATAAAAGAGTTCAGGGCTGATCTCTGCTCTAAAATGCTTGAATGATATGGGGCCTCGTATTGTTTAGTTGATAATATTTGCATTATATTGCAGGGAACAGCTCAAGATCAGGCATCTGTCCAGTGATGGAATGAGAGCAGCTCATTCACAGGCACAGAGGAATGGAAGAACAGTTCAGCTGCTGAATTCTCCATGCAGGAAGTGAGAACTACCACCAGACGGATATGTAGAATATACATCTGACCAATTAGGTCAACAGATCACTAGTTACTATAACACTGGAGTCTGGCGCCCTGGATGTTTGTTGAAGATCACATTTGTGGGGTTTTTTCACTCCCGCAGGACTAAGCAGCCTAGCAGTAGTCCTCACAAACCTCTTTCTGCACCTCTTATGAGATGAGAGAGAAAACAAAATCAAAGCTGAACGTTAGGTGGGCGACTGCTGTGAGATTGCAAGTGAGATAAACAGATCAGATCATATCAGACAGAGAGCACAGCACTATTCGTTAAACTGAAAATAAATAGTGATCACAACACAAACAAACACCAAAATGACCCCCCCGGAAATAAAGCTGTGGTATAAAGAAACACTTTGTTTCACCCGAACAATCCTGGTTAGGAAGAGATGAAGCCAAATATTGGCAGTTGATAAGAAATAAACAAAGAAACATAAAAGTGCCCATAAAGATAAAACTGAACTCTCTCCTCAGATAACGTCTTTAAAGGATTCGTTGTGGATTACGAGGGCTGCATCTCTCCCTGGATCTTATCATTCTCTTCTTTAATAGGTAAATCGTTGCTGCTGTTGTCATGAAGCCCCAGTTTTTGGAGCTCCTCCTCTGCACTGGCCAACGACGTCACTGTGACCGTGTGTTCCTCCATTTGCTTCTGAAGGCTGTCCATCTCCTGCCTACGAGAAATGACCATCAGATGAATGAGAAAGGAGACGCCCACAAGGCGAACGCCATCTGTTATGTAGCTTTATTTATATGAAAAGGGAGGTCGGGAGAGCAGGTTTGAGTAATTGGACTTTGGGTTCAAATGATTACTTTTTTCTCATTCACTTTACTGTATATGTCTGGTACAAATATGTGGTATTTTTTCAGGAAAACAATGAATTGGTTCATATATTTTTCATCATCTACTCAGAAAGAAAGGAATTGAAATGTAAGGCAGGGTATGTTGTAATGACCTTATGATAGCTTAAAATCCTCAAATTTGATAAAGAATTTATCGTAAGTGTCACATGCTTCAGAAATCATTCTAATATGCAGATTTGGTGCGCAATAATTAATTCCTGTTATAATCATATAATCACGTTATAATATGTTAAAAACGGTTGTGTTGCTTAATTTTGTTGAAACCGTGATGCACTGTTTTCAGGATGTTATGATGAAAAGAATGTTCAAAAGAACAGCATTTATTTGAAACCAAAATAATTTATAACATTATCTCTTCACGTTTATTTTTGATCAATTTCATGCATTCTTGCTTGAAGTGTTAATTTCTGAAAAAAACATACATATTACTGAATGATAGTGTATTTAATTAACTAATTTTGCAGCTTGAAAATGAATACTGGAAGCCACTATATATCAGCCAAAACAACATAGGCAAATAGAAGATATTCATAATAGGGAATTGTTTTGTTCTAATAGTGGGACAGTGTTACAGTGTGCCCACTCTCGTCTAGTTTTCACATAGAAAGGTATGGTAAGGTGTGCAGAAGTCTTACTTTAACTGTTTCAGACAGTTGTGGAGGTTATTGAGAGGTTCTTTATTGACGGATGTTGAGGGTTTCAACAGTTCGTCCAAAAGTGAAGCAGGAACAGGGCAGTCTGGGATTTTTACTGGTGTCACTGGGGTGGATTCCCCCTTTAAATCCATCCGCTGGTGTGGGGACAGAAATATGGATAGAAAATAGTTAATAACACACAAACATACATGTTGTCTATATTTAAAATTAAAATGAGCATTAGTCTTACCTTTCTGAGCCTGCCGTTTTTGAGGTCCTGTTTGAGCTGGTTGTTCTGCTGAAGAACAGTCTTCATGCTATTCCTCAGCTCTCCCACTTTAGCCTGCAGCATGAATTTATCCTTCCGTGTGCCATTGAGCTCTTCCTGCACCATCTCCAGCTCCACCTTTATCCTCTACACACCATATCAAACAAAAAAAAGCCCAGAGTTCAGAAGAAGAGAACCATAATACATGTTCTGACTGAACAAAGTAGCTTATCCGA